CAAATGGTGTATGAACCCATATGGGTCACCAGCAACCATGCGAATGCAGCTCCTGACGCTGCTCCTCTGCCTTGCGGATTAGACTCCAAGTCAAAGGCTCACGGGTGGTCCCTTAATAAAACCACCTGCTTCGGTCCGGGCGCCCAGGCAATATCTTAGTCCTCACACAATGAATCGAATGAAGCAACAAACAATCAGTGAAACTTTTCGCGTGCTATTACACGTGTTGCAATTTCCTTCTTTCTTCCCTTCCCGATGATAGTTAACGAATACTGTTTGAACTTGTTAGGCATGACTGTTTTCCTTCCAGATGAAGTTCTTTATCCGTTCTCTACTTATATATATATATATATACTTTCTTTTTTTGTTTTGATCTATGTTGTCTTATTATTATTGTGTGGCGCATCCTTCTTTGATCATAGATGCCTCCGCTCTATTTCCCGTGTAAAGTGGCATAATAAGGTGAGCAACATTGAGGTTAGGCGTCGAGTTCTAGGTAAACAGGGGAAATCAATCGACGAAGTCGTGAAGTTACAAAGACTGAGATGGTTAGGACATGTGTTACGTATGCCAAGCCATCGCCTCCCTCGACGAGCAATGTTAGCAGATATAGGGTCAGGCTGGCAAAAAGCTAGCGGCGGTCAGACAAAAACTTGGCATCAGTCAATGAAATCCACAACAGTTAGTCTAAGCCACGTAGGAAGGTGTAGACTTCCTGACTGGTTGGGGTCCTCGGGACGGTAAAAATCTATGGTTGGAAACAATTGGTGACATGGCTCAAAATCGTTCTCAGTGGCGCAGATGCATCCATTCCCTGTGACTTATGATCTCCAATGAAACTGTTTTGTTTTTCTTTATTACTCCTTTGTCTCACACCTCTACTCACTGTTTCTATTATGCTTTTCTTGTACTTTCTTCTCTTGCTTCGCGTGCTACACGGAATGTGGCGACTTGAACTTCCGCACATTTGTGCAAAGTTCTATGTCGAAAACAGACAGACATCCTTCTTGGTGCCAAACTGTACCAAGTTTTTATGCGTTTAAATAAATAAATAAGATCCTCACTTTGTCATCATTCGTGCCGTCTTTACTTGAAATGGTGCTTCCTAAATGAGTATAAAAGTTTCTGTCGTTGTCCATCTTTCCACTAGTTCATGATCCCTATATCCTCTATTAGCTTCCGTGTCTGTAGACAACGATTCCTTGTCTTTCCTCTTCTTCCTTCCTAAGATAGCTATACATGTTTCGATGTGGTTGTGGCTGAATGGAACCATCCAGCTCAGAGAACACAACCACATCAAAATCATCCACCTGAGCTACAAATCTTCTCTATCATATCTATACAGGTTTCCTTTAACATCACTTATTTTTTATTTTTTATTTCAGCATGTGATATCGGTAGCTCAAATTTTGCAGGCCGACCAGGTGTGCGTCGGCACGGGATCGAACCTCGGACTATGTGCATGGTTGGTGAGAGTCCTAACCATTGTGCCACCGACGCACAGAGTCCCAGTGGTTTTTTCCGCAGGTTTCTTCGGTGATGGTATATATTGTCTCTTTTTTTATCTGACTGCCGCATTGGATATCTCTTTTGTTATTGTGTTATCCAGTTTCTAGGTGTCGAACTTGATTTGGAGTCCATCTCTAGCTTCTTTAGCCGCTTTCAACTTGACCTTAAAGGTTCCTGGCATTAGATAATGGTCTGAGACCACGTCTACTCCTCTTCTCGATTTTATTTCCAGCAGACTGCATCTTCACCTTCTCAAGAAACATCAAGATAAAGTCCATCAGGTTTTTTGTGTGTCTATTTAGTGCAACCTATTTCGTTTTGTGTATGTCCTTGTGCTCGTTAAAGTTTGCATAGTTTAAATTCTTCCATGTTCTCAGCTGAAATTTGAAATCAATATTTTCAACGTGCGTGTTAAATATCTTGGTATTCCCAACAGTTTATTTTTAAGTCCATCTATATTAGGTAGTTATACTTATTCTGTTATGACTAGCAAATATCAGCTCAGGGTTCATTCTTATCTTAACATTTACAAGATGACAAATATTTACTATATATATATATATATATATACGATTGGTTTTTTCACTATGAACTTTACACGTTCAAAACTAATCACACATTCAATTTTCTCACAGAATCTTCGATAATTCTATGTTAAAATTGTGCAAAGTGTTTAGTACTTGTTGTGAGTTAGTTTAATGTAAAACATTTTACAAAATTTTATAACTTTATAAAGATTTGATTGATTCATTCATTCAGTATTTATACTAGATGATGTCTTTTTACCATCAGTTTTATGTTCCAGATAGCTGACATTCTTCTCTGTGGTATGAATGAAATTGGAGTAGAGTTTCTAAATAAAATACTATAGTAATCTGGTTGAAATTCACTCCTATTTAATTTAATTAAGATGTTATCAACATTACTTTCATTATTTAGATCTGAAAGTTGATCATACTTTGTGAGAAGCCGAGAAATAATTGTTTTCAGATCAATAGGTTGAGTAACTCCTAAAATATCTTCTATCCTTTTCTAGGAAATCATAGGTACATAATTTTCTTTCTGATGAAATACAAGTTATGTTTTAAGACAGTACAGGGGGAGGTCACATCCTAGTCGATAAGAGATGCTTCTTCTGTCATCATTTAATGTCAGGTTTTTCATCATTCTACACATCTGTGTGTGTTTATATGTCTCTTGTGTCATTGTGTACAAGCATATCACTTCTTTGCACTCCTAGTGGACCGACCACCATAAGGCTTCAAGCTCAATCTTTTGAAGTTTCAATCGCACTTGTGTTGTTTTTACTGGGTGGAGTTGCTAGTTTCATCCTCACCGTACTTACTACCGGTTAAGTATCCTTAAACCATCGACTCAAGCGCTTTTACTTTATTCAAGGTGTATTTCTCTTGTTGATAACAAAACCAACTGGAATTATGCAGCAGTGTAAATAAACACTGTACTTGTAGAGCCTATTTTCAGCTATAGTATGGATAACATACATTTCTGATCGTTTCCATCTTCAAAGATCAGCGATATAGGCTTTATATATTGCTTTATTTGCAGAGTCTACCTGCTCGAGGTTTTATTCCGACAATCTAGGGTCGTTGTAAAGGGCGGGTGTACTGCTCAGCAGTCCGCTCCGTCCTCCTTCATGGCTGTGAGACCTGGCCATTTAGAGTGGAAGACATGAAAAGATTAGCTGTCTTTGATCATAGGTGCCTGCTCCCTATCTCCCGTGCGAAGTGGTATACTACGGTGAGCAATATTGAAGCAAAGCACCTGTCGAGTGCTAGGTAGGTGGGAGGCGAAATCAATCGATGAGACTGGGAAGTTACACTAACTGAGATGGTTAGGACATGTGTTACGTATGCCTAGTCATCGCCTTCCTCGACCGACGGGTAATGTTAGCTGACATAGGGTCAGGCTGGAAAAGAGCTAGCGGCAGTCAAACCAAAACATGGCTTCACCAGTCAATGAAATCCACAACAGTTGTCTAAGCCACGTAGGAAGGTGTAGACTTCCAGGCTGGGGTCCTCGGACGGCAAAAACCAATGGTTGGAAACAATTGGTGATATGACCGGCTGAAAATCGTTTTCAATGGCTGGTTGGCGCAGATGCATCCGCTCCTTGTGACTTATGATTTCCAATGAAACTATATTGTTCTTCGTTACTTCTATTCCTTTGTCTCACACCTCTGTTTACTGTCTCTATTATGCATTTCTTTTACCTTCTTCTCTTGCTTTGTGTGCTACAAGGAGAGAGTTTGGCGACTTGAACTGGTGCGCATTATGTGCAAAGTTCTATGTCGAAAACACACAGACAGGGTCGTTGTACATTTAATTCTTAAGTAATGTTTTTTTTTTTCTGAAAATAATTGCTGCATAATGAACTGATAAAAGGTAAGGCGAATCCATTCAAAGTCAGTTTAAAACATTTTAGATTTTGAAGGTTGTTTATTAGCAATCAGAAAGTAAATGATTAAAAATTCTAATATCTCACGCTTCAACTAATTATAATTTACACAGTCCTATCAGAAATTCTATAATTATTTTCCCGACTGTGCTGCTATTTCAACTTGCATTAATACTCATCTGCACACCAATCTACTCTGTGATTTGTTCTAACGGTTCGTTAAAAATATGAATAACTTAGATAGGATTGTTTATGTTCTTGTGTATTCATGCTTTTATAGATTCCTTATTAGCTGTTTGTGGTCAGTATTTTTTTTGTTTAGTGATGATTGCGTTTTAATTGATTTCACCAAGTCATATGAGTCAAGTGAGTGCGTCTAACTAGCTGATGATGGAGATGTTGTTTATTGCAAGAGAAAGTGTGTGTGTCTGTGTGTGTGTATGTGTGACTTTAATACATCTCAGAATTGATTTTTCTGTAAATAGAAGAGACAGGTCAGTCAGTACTTTTTGTTTTTGCACCGGTCACTTATTTTAGGTATTTAGTGGAAGAAAAGTCGACCTCCTGAAATAATCTAACTTGTTAAATATTTTCTATAAAGACTTTTTAAAAAATTTTTATTTCCTTCACGTTCCCAGTGGAACATAGGGCTTCAAGCTGGAGACTTGAAGTTTCTGTAGCAGTGGTGTTTATTTTTACAGTATGGGGTTGCTAGCCTCATGCCCAACCTTCCGTCTTTAACAATCTTATTACCGGGTAGGTGAGGTAAAGGAGTGCGTCGGTGGCCAGGGATTGAACCCCGGACCGTGTGCACGGTCGGCGAGCATGCTAACCGCTGTGCCATCGACGCATAGACTATAAAGACTTACATAAATTCTATTCTATGAATGGATATAAATGAACCTATTTCTCAATAATAAGTGTATCAAGCATAAAGCGTGTTTTTTAATCCTCTAGAATGTAGATAGTGAGCGTAAGCACATTGAATTATTAAGAGAACAAGTAGACATGATGATATTTATATCTCATCTTCACGTAACATATTTGCTGTTTTTTGTGTGTTTGCACTTTTATAGGCGAAGATTCAGATATTTATCCTGATGGTTATGAAGATGATGATGATTACAAAACGTCGACTAGTGATGAAGATGGCATTCGACTTATTAATGATGCACTTATCAAACTTGAGGCTCATGTATCTGATCTTGAACGTCATCAGAATACAGTAAATCGAAAGGGGGAAGAATTACAACGTTCCATTAGTGATGTAGAATCTGCTCGTGATCCTACTGAATTATTACAACGCTTCAATTTGGCTCGTGAACGTGCTACAGTTTTCAAAGTTGCTAGTTTGGCAATGGTTAATGTAAGTTAATCATGTGTGCATGTGTGCAAATATTAATCTTCGTCAGTAGATATTTTATTTTAGTAATTTGTAAAATGAATTACAAAGATTAGCTATTATTTAATATTTTTGCAACAATTTAACAGGCTTGTAAACGTTTCATATACTCAACTCTGTATCGTGTGACACCTGAATGGTACGGAATTCGAAGCGACTAACTTACGACTGCTATAGAGCGCAAATTAATCTGGAAGATTAATTATGTCATTTATTATACTGCTGATAACTGCTTTTATTATTACTATCCCCTTTGGGTTCCGAGTGGAACATAAGGCCTCAGCAGCACATCTTCATTTCAGCCTGTCTTTTGCAATCCTGTTTAGCTAGTTAGCTCCACAATCACCCATAAACTCTCATTTTCTCCTCGTACAATCACCTCCGTGTCCCCCAACATGTTTTCTATTCGAGGTATGGTCGACAGGCCTGACTAACCAGTAAACACAAATTCTAAGACATGATATCAGTTAAGAGCAGACTCCAGAATTATTAAACTGTGCTTAAAAGGTTCAAGTTTAAACAAAACAAAGCCAAGAAACAAATGTTTGAATACAATGGGAAAAGGGTTTTGTAATAAAAGTGATAGGTAACTGACAAGCTGCATAATAGTGTAGTGACTTCAACTCACATTATAGAAATACAAAAAAACAAGCAAAATTACATTATATCGAAAAGGAAGAGGAGGTTAAAGTCCGAGATTATGTTGTCAGATAAAAAGGGAGAGTAAATACATCGAATTGTCAGAACAGGGTAACGCTGATACTTGATTCTTTCTGGTTTCAGGCTTTTGATAGCCAATTCGAGGAGAATTGAACTATTTTATTTATTGATAATTTAAAAGGATTTCAGAGCGTCCACCTTATGACCCGTATCAACGAGATATCTGGCAATAGCATTATTGAAGGCGTTTGTTCTTTTGAGGCTCTTTGATACACGTTCAGAAAATCGAAGGTGTATCCTTCTTTCTGTCCTTTCTATGTAACTACTACCACAAACACTTAGAGTTAACACGAGAAGAGTATCTGTCGACCTATGATTTCACCAAAGAGAATGCTGTCTGATAAACAGGAACCAACTTACTTACAGCATAGGTTCTGGCTAACGAGGTATTCAATCTCTTGTTGACTATTCCTACATTGTCATTACTCATTTAAACGAAACTAACTTTGTCAAATATGCGAATGATCTGACTGTATCACTGCCTATCACTTCCGAGTCTGACTGCTTCAAACTTAATAGCTTTTTGGTGGACATCAGCAAGTGGTCTTATGTTAAATCCTTCCTCCAAGCATCGACGTGGCATACATAAACTAGTTAGTTCCCATGATGCCTGTAGCATAGATGGTACTGAAATTGAAACCAAGTCAAGCATTAAATACCTTGGATTAGTTCTTTCCTCTGACCTTTCATAGTCATCCCACATCTTATCAATCTCTAAGAAAATGTTTCGTCTTACCTTCTACATTAAAAAGTTAAGACAATCAGGTATCAACCAACCTTTAGTTTTGCAATTTTTAAACTCCTGTATTTTACCTATTGTACCCTATCGCTCTCCAATAATCTTTCCTGGGCTTCTCAAAAAAGACTATATCATATTACTAAGGGCATTAAATGCTGTGAGTAGGGCTTGTGGTATGCCACTGCGTGAACTGGCCAATACTATTGTCAAGAGACACATAAATTCCTGTACAAAATGGTCAAAGGCAATACTGTCAGATCCTCTGCACCTCCTTTATTCACAACTAACCCCTTGCATCTCATCAGGTAGGACGAGAAGTCAATATAACAAGTTATATGCTCGAACCACAAAAATTCTACAGTTCCCTATTTAGCCCGTATTTTATGTGATGGGAACACTGTCAGACGTGAAACATATAAGTTACTATGTGAATCGACCCTCTCATCGTTCATTTTTCTGTGATTTTATGGTGTCACCCTTTCTGTCGTTTAATTATAACTTTGCTATTTTATTTTAGTTGTTATTACTATTATTACTACAATTTTATACTTTATGCATATTTTTCTGCTTATCGCACATACTGTAATTGCCATATAGCTGGTATAACAACGTTTTGTTATTATTATTACTACGTAATGTTTATTTTTTTGTCGTTTTGAGTAAATTAGATGCGATATTGTACTGAATGTTGAAAATTCCTTGCTGTATCATTAGTACTGTTTTTGGAATAAAGCAAAAATATTATTATTATTATCATTATTTTAAAATCAAGCTGGATAAAGATGAGCCTTTTTTCCCATTGTGATTTGTTTGGCGTTTGAGCCTTTCCTTTACCTGTTCCAAACTTATCAAGAAAATTAATTTTATGAGGTGTGACAACTTGGCATTTCGGTAGTTTTCTTCCAATGAAATCGCATTATATACACTGATTACTATTGCTTCCCCCCACCCCATATGGATTTGATGTTACTAACAGAACAGTTTAGTTAGTGATGATAATAATAAGATTTCTTGTTGAATGAGCACTGCTCACTTTTCTGAACCTAGACTATGTGGATGACTAATCAATAGTTATAATCATATAACATATTTTGCTTTTGATAATAAATATCGATCAAATAATTCAGAATTTAAAAAGACACACAGGTTATAATATCAGTAAAAGCAAATTCTTTGCATGACTTCTCATCAAAGTTCTATGGTTGGTCAAAATAGTTTTCTGAAAGGTTATGGGAATGTCATTTAAAAAAAATAGGTCAGTTTACATTGATTAAAACAATGTATTCCCTTTAATCAAAATTTGAATAAGGCATTTAAAAGACAAATTTCGCGAGATGATGATATCATTTCATAGTTTCTTTACAATCGCTTTACAGTTAACATGGTTTACAATAACTAAATAAAATAAAATGCATGCCAACAGCTCAGTTATATAAAAAGAAACAAAAGTACATACTAATGACCAACCATATTTAAATAGGTCAAGTAGTCTATGGTAGGCGAAGGTTGAAGTCTATTGTTGTTTTTTGTACACATAGTTTGGGATGTATGTGCTTAATCCATGTTAGTTGTAAAGCAATTGTAAAGAAGCTACTAAATGATATCATCATCTCGCGAATTTTGTCTTCTAAACGCCTTATTCAGATTATATTGATATCAGTCGTGGTAATAAAACATATGAAATATAGATTAAATTGAGAAACTTGGTCAATTAGTCTTACGTAATCCAAAATACGAAAAACCCATTTCCATTGCCAATGAGAAACAGTATTATTGCTCGCTAGTGACTTGCTACAGGACAGAGTTTCTTGGAGTTCTAGTGAGCAGTCGTGACCAGTAAGGTGGTCCAACCAGTCAAGTGCTAGGATGGAGTACCCCCCCCCCCCGATGACATTGGTTGGTGGTCGCGCTAAATCACCAGTTGGTAGAAGTTAGAATTTATGGAATAGCCGTTGAATTGGGTCCCAGTGGCTGAATAGTATACGAGCTTGACTTGTAACCGAAAAGTCCTGGGTTCAAAACCTGGCGGTGGGTGGGTACTGCCGATGATTCCCAAACTAGGATGAAACAGCTGTCCAGCAATTCCTTTTGTCTGGTTTTCAATTATTTTTTAACTGATATCAGTCGATGGGCAAACTCGTATAATTAGTATTTAAACCTAACTATGCATATATCATGTATATGCATCTGTGCGTCGGTGGCACAGTGATTAGGACTCTCGCCGACCATGCACGTGGTCCGGGGTTCAAGCCCACGCCGACGCACACCTGATATCTATGGTCGGCCTGCGAATTTTGGGCTACCAATATCCACGCTGAAAATTCCATACTTGTACCAAAAATACGGTGTGGAATCAAGCTGTAGTCAAAAAATAAAATAAATATTATGTGTGTGTGTATGTGTGCGTCTGTCCACAAGGCGAGTTGAGTGATTTGAAATCATATTTGTACTGAAATGGTTCGCTGAAGTGGATAGGGATTTCTAATCACACTTGCATCACACACACTGACTGTAATCAGATTGCGCTAAATTTAACCTTACAAATACCTCCAGTGTATAGCTAGAAAATAAGTATTTGCTATAGGTTTTACAAAAAAAATTTAACTGTCAGTTCAGTGTTTATTCACTATTACTGCATGTTGACGGGACATATTGAATTTTAATGTAGAATACTTTATATATGTGGGTGCTCGACTACAAAATGTCTGGTCAAGCCAAGTTAATTTGCTTTTCAAGTTTTGACTTGCAAGGATTTTATTGATTTCAAGATTGATCATGCACTGACTTCAGCTATAAAAATAAACTAGAGAGTACTGGTCGACTGTTTCGTCCTTGTTTGCGACACTTCATCAGGGGTCGAAACCATGCGCTTCCGGTTACAATGTGAGCTGGCATACCATTCAATCCACTAGGGTGGAATCCAGTGACCCGTGAATTCAAACTTCTGACCATTCACGATATACCACGCTACTGATGGCCAATGGTTGTTCGGTGAGCATTTGTCTTCACAACCAACTTGGTGAATAATACAAATTCCAAATTAGAACGAAAAGCTGTCCAATACTAAATGGTTTTCAGTAATTCTCCAGATAAAGTCAATTCATTATCGATGTTGAAACCACCCAAATCTCTGCTAATCAAAACTTGAAAATTAATCAATTGCTTATTAGCAACTAGCGACAAGATGAAGTTGCCTAATTTCTAGTCGAAATTCTTGACTGGAGACGTGTTCACCAAGTTCAGGATGAGGACAACATTGGCTGGTGGTCAGATCACTTTGCTTTTGCACAGACTTGAAATTTTAAGTGATACAAGTCTTGCAAGAGAGATTTAGTACAAACAAGCCTTACTTTTGTAGTGAGATAAATGTGTGATTATGGCATAACACTTCTCTGTGTGTGTGTGTGTGTGTATTTGACTGGCATGTCTGTGTGCATACAAACATCTACTTTTTTAAAACATTTTAATTGTATGCTTATTTCAGTAATAAAATATAACAGTTAAA